CAGACAAGGACGGATACATAACGGAGCCATGCAGTTGCTTGACTAGTAGTCTGTCGCTGACTCCTGCTCACCCATCCGAATGTGTGTCATCTTCTCCTCCAGCTGTCCGATGTACAGGTCGTCCTTCACCTGGTACGTCGACAGGATGAAGCGCCATGCCTGGTGACCAGCATCGAGTCGCTCTCGACAGCTCCTGAGCGCTAGCTGCACCACCGCCGAGCAGCACGAAACTCTCTGCGCAGCTCGACATCCTCCTCGGGCGGAGTGGGCACGGTGCCGTCGGCGAAGCCCTTCAGCCCGGCAACCTCCAGCTGAGGCTCTATCGACTCCCTCCAGGTGATGAGGTCCCGTCGACCTTGCAGCGGTGCGACGGTGATTCGGTCCGGCGAGAACTTGAAGTAGCCATATGCTGGTGTAATTCCGCCCGCCGTCACATGCGTCGTCGCCGAGAGCCCTCCACCACTTCGTAGAGGGGATCGATGTCGAACATCAACGTCGCCACGCGAGCTACCTGCGGCCGCCGTCGATAGCTGCACCCGCGCCTGTATCCCGTCGACGCCACCGTCGACCTTGATCACCCCCCTCTACTTCGAGCCTTCGCTGCCGCTGACTCGTGCACCACCGTCGACCTCGTCGTCGACGCCACCTTCGTTCCGCACTGGTCGAGGAGATGCAGGACGGGAAGGGTGTTCCGTCGCCCACTGCGACCGGATGCCCAACTCGACGATCGCCCAAGGGATCGTCCCGTACTCGCCATCCGCGTGGCGTCTCCTCGCATCAGCCAAGCGTGCCTCCAAGGTGTCCGCTACGCCCGCATCAACTACGGGGTCGACCATGGCGACTAACGCTGCTGCCGGCCTACGAACGACTTAGTAGGTGCAAAAGTCGGCTCCTATCTGAAGGTAATTTGCGGGGCCGTCCACGCTCACCGCACCATGCGGAGATTCACTCTACAACGGTAGTGAGCTAGACTACGGGGGTTGGCACGAACTACTAGGAGTGATTGTAGCTTTGCTTGGTTCCTTAGTGCTTGCACATTCACGGGAGAAATCGGCAAGAGTTTCCACTAGCAAAGTTGGAATTACAGAATGACTCAACAAGCAATGACAACAATGACTACATCAGGCACCTAGCAACCCTGCAGCTAGCCTGGTCGACCGCCAGCACAGCTTGGTCGACCGCCTGCCAGCATTGCGTAGAGGAGCCGAGCTAGCACTGCAGAAGGGCAACCTGCCAACTCTGCAGGTCGACGGCTTGCCAACGCTGCAGTAGTGCGGCTGTCCAGCGTTGCCCCGTAGAAGACAGCAGTGCGCACGCTCGCAGGTGCGCGCAGACGATTGGTCCGGCTTGCATTGCTGTGCATCCGTCGGCTATTGTCTGCGACTGACGAGCCACATCGACTTCGGGATACCAGCCCGAAGTCGCCTTCGCCATCGCGGCCTCGACGACGTTCGCGTGCCTCCGCAGAACTCGTCGAGCAGGTTACCCGGTCGACCTGGACACCACCAAGTGCTCTGGTCGACCACCAGTGCCTCTGGTCGACCACCAGGTGCCCCTGGTCGACCACAGCTCCCGTCGAGCTACCCCCTGGTCGACGGACCCCTTCCGGCGACCAGAACTGTCAGCGGTTGTCGCCGAGCTCCCCTCGTCGACCGCTGCTCACTTGTCAGGTCGACGGCTGCTCCGTCGACCTCCCCGGTCGAACTGTAGATCGACCGGTAGCTTCGTCGACCTCCCAGTCGAACTGTAGGTCGACCGGCAGCTCCGTCGACCTCCCGGTCGAACTGCCCCTCCTGGTCGACAGCCCACCCGTCGCCCAGACTAGTCCGTTGCAGCTGTCGAGCTCCCTGGTCGACAGCAACACCACAGCGGTCCCCTGCAGCTCGACGAAGCCTGTCGAGCAGCTCTCCCACTGTGAACGGTCGGCTGCTACTCCCGTACCTCCGACCAAGTTGTCGGCGTTGCCCAAGCGAGGGCGGGGCCAACACTCCATTCCCGTTAACATCAGTTCAGTAAGGATCCTAGGATGCTCTACAACGACTATCGTCCCAATATTTATAAACCGGTCTGTTGATAACGGGTCTGTGCCTCCGTCTCAGTAGTAGCTGCTTCATCACCAGATTCAGGGTCGAAGTTTAAACATGGACCCAAACATTCTCTTACGTTAGAAGCAATGGGTAGTGGTGTAGTTGCCATGTTATCAATCTCGATCGAAACTGAGCAATATGGGGCGTCACCGGTAGCTACTGATGCACTAGAGACAGCTTCTTCCACCACGTCAGCTTCGTCGGATTTTAAGGCAAAGGTGCGTGCACCAATAAATCCAGCTGTTAAGTCCTCCATGTTGTTGCGCTGGTGTTGCTAAGTGTTGAAGGTAAGCTGCTCGTAGAACAACACGTCATGTGCAAGGACTCCAATGCATCATGTCCCAATTTTTCCATGCCGCAAACTGTTTTCCGATGCCGATATGAATTCTCCCCTTTGCCCTTTGTGAAAATTGTCTTGCAGGTGAATTCGGCGGCAGTACTTCACCATACTGTTGATTGTGTAGGTGGATGTTGTATTTTGCTCTAGCTGGTTGTGGGCTAAGGGTTTGGGCAAAATGTGGTGGTTAGACTTGTTGCAAGTTGGACTTGATCTCGCACCCAACAAGCACCAACAGACCTTTGCTATTTACTACAACACCTTCAGTGTTGCTAGTTTGGCATTTTGGGTTGTTGGGGATTGTTGTAGGGCGAGGGTTGGGATGGTAGGGTTTGACAAACTCGTCACTTTTCAGATCTGAACTCTTGCTTAAGCCATTCCTAGATCTAATCCATGGCTGCCAAGTAGTTCCGCCAGGATATCCCATCGCACTTAAATCGCGGCAGCGATCGGCCTAGATCTTGGTTGAAGGCGTGCGTTACCATTCTTTCCAACGCGTATCTGCTCATATTTTAAGGTTACGTGAGCTGCACGCAATGGTTCGCCGAAGTCGGCGGACTTAATCTCTTGTTACGCTCTCCAGATTCGCGCGCTTTCCATCAGTGGTATCAGAGCTGGTTAGGCCTGCGATATTCCCTCTTTTCATCATATTTCGAATTGGTTGAAGGACCTCCAGATCTAGGGTTGGTCATGGCCCAGAAATTAGATGGCCCTCCTAGGTTCACCGGCTCGGATTTTTCGCTATGGCGGTTCCAGTTTACGCTTTGGCTAGGTATCAAAGACCTAGAAGGCGTTTTGGAGGGATCGGAGTGAAGACCTAGAGCTGATGAAGCAGAGGCATCTGCTGGAGTGTCTAGCCAAGAGGGAGCAGGGGCTAAGGGAGCCTCTAGCTCATCCATAAGTGAAGGAAGTGGAGGTGGATCAGTAGCACTGCGAATCGGAAGGCAACGGCTTAGTGCGGAGGAGCTTATCAAGGCACAGGAAGCATGGGACCGCAAGGACAAGCAAGCGTTCCAGTACCTGTGTTGGGCCTTGGAAGGCCAACTAGAGCTCCTAAAGATGCTGATTGACCTGAAGGGGAAGCAAGGAGCAGCTGCCCAAGCATGGAAGAGAGTTCAAGATCGCCATTTGCAAAAAGGGCTGCTAAGCATACTCACCTGGAGGAAACGGTTTTACACCATGGAACACAAATATGGTGATGGGGAGACCATGGTGCGGTATCTCCGGAGGATGGATGAGTATGTGAGAGCCTTAGAGGAGTTGAACTACACTGTAGATGAGAAGGAGATCATCTACACCGCACTCCAAGGGCTGGACCAAGAGGCAAACGAGGTTCTACTGCAGTACCTTCACCTTGAGCAACAGAAATGGACCAAGGCCTGGATATGGAAGTGTTGGTCTCTGATGAGGCTCGCAAACGGGATGCTGGTAGAGGAGTTGAAGGGGGAATGGGGGCAGGTGATAGGGCTGCCTCCAAGAAATACCAGCAGCAGCACGGAGGTGGGGGGAAGAAGAAGGAGCTCGACAAGTGCCTCGTCCCTGGATGCAACCGGAAGCACTCTTGGAAGGAGTGTTGGAGCAGACCCGATGGGTGGAAGCCTCAAGGGTACCCAGGAGAGGCTCCACCTGTCACTAGGCCTGAGTGGGTGGAGAGGAGGATGAAGAATGGAGCATGGAACAAGAAGGGCAGCAAAGAGAAAGCGGCAGTAGCAGCGGCAAACGAGGATGAGAAGGGAAAGGAGGACTCATCAGATGATGGTTTCTTCTTCTTATCCTTGGGGAAGGAGACGGCGCTTGCTGGTCGTGTGTTGGCTGACCCCAATCAGCTCATTCTAGACTCAGGGGCAACATGTGGAATGGTGCCTCGGCGCGACCTCTTCACCACCTATCACTCCCTCCCACCTAACTCCAGAAATGTGATTGTGGGGAGCGGAGATACGCTGCAAGCAACCGGCATCGGCACCATCACCGTCAAGGGGAAGGAGGGGGAGGTGCTGAATGTGAAGGGTGTGCTTCATGTTCCTGGATTGGCAGCCAACCTCCTCTCATGCTCTCAGCTTGCGAAGCAAGAATACATATGCACCTTCACCATGGAAGGGTGCACGGTTTGCAAGGGTGGAGCTGTGGTGATGGAGGCCAAGTTAGAGAAGGGTCTATACCTTGTTCCAGTTTGTGTGCCTCAGGTGGAGAGGGCACATGGTGTTGAAGCCGAGGAAGCCGCTTGTAGCACACGATGAAGGGACGTGGAGCAGGTGACGGCAGATTTGCTGCACCTACGCATGGGGCATGCAGGAAGGCAGCAACTTGTGGAGTGTGTGAAGAAGGGGGAGCTGAAGGGTGTGGAGATCAAGGAGGGTGATGGGCATCCAAGCAAGTGCCCTGATTGCACGACTGGGAAGCTGCCAAGGACTTCCTTCCCTACCTCCACCACTAGAGCCTCCGCACCTCTTGAGTTGGTGCACACGGATGTGTGTGGCCCCATGCAAACACCGGATAGGGAGAAGGGCATCAAATACTTGCACACAGTAGCCTCAAATGAAATCAAATCGTACTTGCTCAATGCTGCAAAGCATAGCTCACAATGAGAGGGAAGGTGGGAAGGACTGGGCAGGGAAATTAGAAACAGGGAAGGGAGGGAACGCACATGTGCAGAGGCAGACAGAGCACGATAAGGGGAGGCACAAGCAGTCAGATGGGCAGCAAAACAAGAGACAGGGTGCGATGAACGCAACACTGCATCCAGCGGCAATGGAGTATGAGACAAGTGCCTGACTTGCTGAGGTGGCAAGCAGAACCTGGTAGCTGCGGGCTGGCGCAGCCATGAAGTAGCAGAGGTTGCCCACTGTGAGGTTCAAAGGGTACTGCACAGCGGCGCCCCTGCAGCAGGCACCAGCTGCCGTGCGCCCTCCAGGTAAGACAGTGTCACGCACTGGGAGAAGGGAGGAAGGGATGAGAGAAGGGAGGAAGGGATGAGAGAAGGGAGGAAGGGATGAGAGAAGGGAGGAAGGGATGAGAGAAGGGAGGAAGGGATGAGAGAAGGGAGGAAGGGATGAGAGAAGGGAGGAAGGGATGAGAGAAGGGAGGAAGGGATGAGAGAAGGGAGGAAGGGATGAGAGAAGGGAGGAAGGGATGAGAGAAGGGAGGAAGGGATGAGAGAAGGTAGAAAGGGATGAGAGAGGGGAGGAAGGGATGAGAGAAGGGAGGAAGGGATGAGAGAAGGGAGGAAGGGATGAGAGAAGGGAGGAAGGGATGAGAGAAGGGAGGAAGGGATGAGAGAAGGGAGGAAGGGATGAGAGAGGGGAGGAAGGGATGAGAGAAGGGAGGAAGGGATGAGAAAAGGAAGGGACGAAGCGAGCCTCAAACGGTGGGAAGCAGGGATGAACGGAGGAGGGATGGAGGCATGGAACAATGAAGGATGTAGAGAGGAGGACAGGGGGGAGAAGGGAGGGCAGCGGGTAGAGAGGAGGACAGAGGGAGAAGGGAGGACAGGGGATAGAGGGAAAGACATGGAGGAGAGGGGAGGGCAAGGGGTAGAGAGGGCAGGGGGAAGCAGGGGGGGAAGGGGGGGGGGGTGGAAGGAGAGGGGGGGGGAAGGAGGGGAAGCAGGGGGGAAAGTAGGGGAAGTAGGGGGGGAAAGGAGGGGAAGCAGGGGGGAAATGGAGGGGAATCAGGGGACGAAAGGAGGGGAATCTGAGTGCATGGGTTTGAGCTGGGGGGAGATTGGAGGACAGGAGCGAGGCGGCGATGTGGCGAGGCGGCGATTTGGCGAGGCGGCGATTTGGCAAGGCGGCGAGTGCAGGACGCGGTGATGTGGCGAAGCGGCGAGTGCGGGAGGCGGCAATGTGGCGAGTCGGCGAGGTGGTGAGGCGGCGAGACGGCGATGTGGCAAGGCGGCGAGGCGGCGAGACGGCGATGTGGCGAGGCGGCGAGGCGGCGATTTGGCGAGGCGGCGAATGTGGGAGGCGGCGATGTGGCGAGTCGGCGAGACGGCGAGGCGGCGAGGCGGCGATGTAACGGCGATGAGAAGGCTCCTATCGCGGCGAGGCAGCGATGTGGCGGCAATCTGGCGGCGATGCGCTGATGAGAAGGCGAGGCGGCACCGGAGGTCGCACGGCCAGGACACGGAGTAGCGGGGAGGCGAGTTTGGCGGGGAGGCGAGTTTGGAGGGGAGGCGAGAGGCTGTGGAGGATGGGTTCCGGCGAGTCGGGGAGGCGGATGTGAGGTGGCGACATGGCGAGAAGGCAGTGAGGACAGAGAAACGACGTGCCGCGCAGGCGACGACGTCGCGAGCCAGCCGCGATGTCGCCATTCGCATGTGATGCGGAATAACCCTGTACCCGTGGAGAAACGAACACTACTCGCGGGCTATGCCGTTGTGGCGCCTAGGGAATGGCTGCATAGATTCCCGCTATATGTGATGTGGTTTCTACGCTTTGAAGCACAAGCTATCCCTGGTTTATCACTCGTGTTGTCAGGTTGATCGACTCCGCTTGGTTCTCGGATCCCTCCGCCCTCCCGCAGTGTGTTCCCCCAACCCAACAATATAGTATGAAATTGGTTGGCATCGCCTGCCTTGTTTCAATTCCTCGCACCAGCTTTACGTACCCTAGACAATTCGCCCTCGAATCAGCAAGCGCCATAGGGTGTTAACTGACAATACACCCAAAAACCACCCCTAGGAAAGTGCACCGTCGCTTTAAGAGGGTCACTTGAGTTTCAGTATGTGGAAAGATATTTGGAACAGTGTTTTATCAGCCCACCGTCGTTCTCGTTTTGCTTCATTGGAACACATTTCCAAATTGGATCTGCCTTTAACTCCCTTTGATTGGTTTCAAGGTACCCTGATCCATCAGGGCTGTATCCTATTTCCTAAAATCGTGTATCCTAATGCTTCAGTGCTGGTTGATATGATTACCCTGATTTTCAGGTGCTATAAGCCACAAAAAATGTCAACGAGAGTGGTGTTTGGCCCCGTCCTCACTTGGGCGGAGCCGATCTCGAAACCGCGGGGACGCGGGAGGCCGCGGGAGCCCGCGGGAGACCGCGGAACCGCGGGAGGCCGCAGGAGGCCGCGGAAGACCGCGGAACCGCGGGAGGCCACGGATACCGCGGGAGGCCGTGGAACCGCGGAAGCCGCGGGAGCCGCGGGGTACCGCGGAACCGCGGGACCGCAGGACCGCGGGAGCCGCGGGGTACCGTGGGACCGCGGGGGGCGCGGGATACCCAGTCGACCAGGATATCCGGGCGATGTGTGCGGAAGTCGCCGGGGTGGTTTCTGCGAGGACGACCTCGGGGGTGGTATCCTGAGGTCGACGTGGCTGGTGGGCGCCGTCACGGGTGGAGTGTCTCCGCTGGGCGTGTGACGGGGCGTTGGACGCCAACCAGCTGCACGCACCTGCGAAGCTGGTGCACCGTTGTCAGGCGGGTGCAACGCTGTGCAGCCGACTTGCTGCAGCGTTGGCACACCACGGACTTGCAACATTGGCAAGCCGCGACTCTGCTCTGCTGGAGCGCGGTCGACCAAGTCATGCTGGCACGCGGTCGACCGTGCTGCGCTGGCAGTCGACCAGCAGCCTTGCTAGGTCTGATGTTGTCTGTGTTGCCAATGTTGATGGAATCATTCTGAACTTTTGTTGTCATGTTTTCCTAGTGAAACTCTTGCCAATTTTCCCCGTGAACTAGCAAGCAGTGTGAGCACTTGGAAACAACTAAGGAACGAACGAACGCTACGATCACGCTTGCCCCGTGCCTAGCCCGTAGTCTAGCTCCCGTTGCACGAGTTATCTCCGCATGGTGCAGTGAGCGTGGACGACACCGCGAAGTGACCTTCGAGTCAGCCGATTTTGCACCCACCTAAGTTGTTCGTAGGCCGTCAGCCGTGCTGTCACTAGTGTGCGCGTAGGTGACGCCGAGGTGATGGACACCCTGGAGGCACAGCTGGAGGACGCGAGGAGACGGCATGAGGCCCAGGTTTACGGGGCGATTCCTTGGGCGGTCGTCGAGGCTGGCATCCGCGAAGTGTGGGCGACGGAGCACCCCTCTCGGCCTGCGTCTCCTCGACCGGTGAACAACGCGGGCGGCGTCGACGCGGATGTCAACGCGGGTGGTGGCCAAGTCGGTAGCAGCGCGGGAGGCACGTCGAGGCAGCGAGGTGTGATTCACGCCGATGAAGTCGGCGGCGTTCAAGCGCGAGGGATGCAGGCATCCGCGGCTGCAGGGGCCTCGCGGGGCTACGTCGGAGGCAGACGAAGTGAATTGGCATCGATGTTGGCGACGCACGTGACCGCGGGAGGAATTGCGCCGAGCTATGGCTACTCAAATTTACGCCGGACAGGATCTCGGTCACCCCTCTGCTGGTCGGTCGTCCCGACATCCTCACGTGGAAGGAAGCCATCGAGCCCCAGCTGGAGATGGCCGGGCTGATGGGCTTCGCCCGCGGGACCGTGGCAACGCCGGAGGAGCACTACCCTGACCTGCGAGCATAATTTCGCGCCGTGCAGTTGCCGACCTTCACGGTCATCTTGCAGTGCTGCTCACCGAGCGTGCAGATCGCCCTGAAGTCGTGCAGGGAGTACCTCGACGCTGGCCACCGGGCGTGGCATTTCATCGAGTCAACTTACCAGGTCACCGACGACTTGTTCATCGCCCAGCTTGAGGGGCAGTTGACGCACTTGTGTATGGGCGACGAGGAGACGGCGACCGACTACTGCAACCGAGCTCGGCGAATTCTCGCCACCATTCGGATGGCTGGCGCAGTGTACTCAACGGCATAGTACGTCACACACGTCATGCAGGGACTCCCGAGCAGCTACAACCTACTGAAGCGGCTGTCGATGGCGCCGAGCACGCGGGCGACGCTCAACGAGGACACATTGACCTCGTACATCCTGCAGGACGAGGCGATGCAGGAGGCTGAACGGTCCCATGAGATCCTCGCTCAAGTGAACTACGTCGCCCCGGCGAAGCAAGGTGGTCGACCGGGACAACGCGGGTAGTCTGGTGGCAGTCACCGCGGTGGCGGGAAGCCGACGAAGGATGCCGACAAGAAGAAGTCGGCTAAGGAGAGCGGTCGTGGAGGAGGAGGTCGACGTCGGGAATGCTGGCTGTGCGGCGACCCCGATCACCTCTCCTTCGAGTGTCCCGACCGTAGTGACTCGGACGACGACAAAACCAAGGGAGGCCGCGGGAGGTCTGGCAGCCGTCGTCCGCGTCGAAGAAATTAGCCGCGGAAGGAGAAGCAGTCGGAGAAGTCAACCTCGGCGAAGGACGCCGACTCCTCCGCGGGTGGCAAAGGGCGAGGCGACAAGGAGGCGTCGTGCTCGCTGGTCGGCGTCGTAGAGCCGACCGTCTCGCTGGCGCCGGAGGCTGGCGAGGATTTCCAGGCGGTGGCGGCAGCTGTGCAGGCGAACCCGGCGGTGGTCCTGCTCGACAGTGGCTGCTCGCACCACCTGATGGGGACGAAGGACGCCTTCGTCGACTTGGGGCCGAGCGGCGACGTGAAGCACGTGCGTGGCTTCAATGGGGCGCTGCAGGACGTTCGCGGCCGTGGCACCGTTGCACTGCAAGGGGAGGTCGGGAAGCGGGTGCTCATCTCCAACGTTCTCTACGCCCCGGGCGTGCAGGCGAATCTACTTTCGGCTAGCCAGCTGAAGGAGAGCGGGGTGACGCTGAAGGACGACGGTGACCGGATGTTGCTCGTTTCCGCGGCGGGGGACGTGCTCGGTCGAGCAACGTACACCGGCCGGGTCCTCTGCACTGACCTGCGCCCATGCGCGGTAAAGTCGACGACGCCCGCGACAGAGGAGGTGGCTCTGCGGGCGATCGTCTCAGCGTCGAAGTCGACGCCGAACCGGCTGCATGCGCGGCTTGCACATGTCAGCATGGACACCATCCGGAGCTCGGCGAAGCACGAGGTCGCCACCGGGCTAGACCTCAAGTCGGTGTCTGGCGCCGACTCACCGTGTGTCTCATGCGTCGGTGGGAAACTGGCGCGGCACACCTTCCCCGACCAGGGCTCCGACGCCGCTGACGTGCTGGCTGTCGTGCACATCGACCTGTGCGGGCCGTTCCGCGTGGCTGCCAAGGATGGCAGCCTGTACTTCTTGCTGCTGAAGGACCGCAAGACCTGCTACGTGTGGGTGAGGCCGGTCGCCAAGAAGTCTGACGTGCTGCGGGAGTTCCAGAAGTGGCTGGTTCTGGTGGAGCGGCAGGCGAAGAATTCGGTGCTGCAACTGCGTTCTGACCGCGGAGGGGAGTTCCTCGGGAAGGACTTCACCGCCTTCGTGGACAGCAAGGGGATCGTCCACGACCTGACCTGCCCTTACACCCCGCAGCAGAATGGCATGGCGGAGCGGGAGATGAGGACGGTGGTGGAGTCGGTGCGGACGATGCTGCTGCACATGGGCGTGCAGCACCACTGGTGGCATCTTGCTCTGCGGCAGGCCGTCTGGGTTCGCAACTGCCTGGAGCGGTCGACGCTGCCACCGGGGACGACGCCGTACCAGCTCCTCACCGGGCAGAAGCCCGACTTGTCGATGGCGCGGGTGTGGGGCTGCATGGCGCAGTTCCTCGTCCCTGAGCAGCAGCGCGGTGGGAAGCTGAAACCGAAGGCTCGATGGGGTCTTCACCTCGGCGTGTCGGAGGAGAGCAAAGGCTGGGAGCTCCTCGACATCGCCACCAACCGGGTAGTCACCACGTCGGACGTGGTGTTCTACGAAACTATGTCGCTGGAGGTGTGGAAGACCGCGCTTGGGCCAGCGTCAGGGCGGACGCGGGCCAACCCGCCGACGGACACCTCGACGGCAACGCTTCCTCTGCTCGCCGCGGTCGGTGAGCAGGATGCTGAGGATGTCGCGGTCGCCCCTGCCTCGCCTTCCCATGCCCCTTCTTCCTGTCCCCTTCCCGTCGACCTGCGCGGGCTGACTCCGGTGTCGGCCTCCGGCGATGAGGGGAGCAGTGGGGCGTCGCCTGTGGCGCCGGCCAAGTGCATCGCCGGTGGCCGACGTGACGCTCGGCCAGCCGCGGGGGAGACCGCGGAGGCGACCGTGGAGAAGACCGCGGAGGAGCAGGCAGCTGACAGGGGAGCAGCTGCCAGAAACCGCGAAACCGCGGAACCGCGGGACTGCGGTGACAGGGGAGCAGCTGCCAGGGGCCGCGAAACCGCGGAACCGCGGGACCGCGGTGCCAGGGGAGCAGCAGATAGGGGAACAGGCAGATGCGAAGCCGACCTCGGAGCAGTCGGCAAAAGAGAAGTCGCCCGAGACGCCGATCGTGGTGCAGCCGGACGCTGAGGGCAGTGACGCCGCGGAG